CAGCAGGAACGTGTCCTGGAAAGACCCCACGCCACCCCAGGGTGTGCAGAGAATACACCTATGAGGAAATTGTCTGGCTAGCATAAAGCGAAAGTCAAGTCAAAACCCAGTCCAACCCAAAAGCAATTCCCATTTAAGAAAGGTCATGTGTTGAAAGTCACAGGAAGGGGGATGATTTCAGGCTAAGTGAACAAAGGAGGCTGGGTCTCTAGGAAGCCTAGCCAGCCACCAGCACTCGTAGATTTTCCCTCCATTTGTGGGGACAAGTCTGACTCTCCAGCTGTGAGTGCAAGAGGGAAGGAGGGAGCCTAGCCAGGTGCCAGGCACTTCCCCCCACTGTGGTCCCCAGCTGCTTCACCCACAGAGCAGCCTGATTGAGGCTCAGTGAGGGTTATGCATGTTTGTCGATTTCGCTCTCTGCCCTCCTAGGGAGAAATGGTAGGCAGGCTGCAGCCTGTTGGGGAGCTGGGAGCCACATAGCTCTTGGGATGTAGCCCTGGAGAATTTCAGGTGCCTGTTGTTTTGAAGAGAGAGAATCTTGAGGTGTTTTCGGAGAAGCAACCCTGGCTTTTGATGGTGCCCACTGGCAGAAGGAGACCCGCAGAGCAAAAGTAAGCAGGGAGCTGCTGTGGTAGGATAAAAATTATGATGGCTCAATTCAACCCCTTTCATTTGACTCTCTGCTTCCTGTGAAACCTGATATTACTGTGGTTTCTCAAGCTGTTGTTCCTTCCAGGAATAGACTGCTCTAGCCATCAATCTATAAGGCAGCTAGCATCCTGACTGCACCCCTGTGAGAGACCCTGAGCAAAAACTACCCAAACTAAGCCATTCCCAAATTCCTGGCTCACAGAAACAGTGAGATAACAAATGTTTGTTTTTTAAGCCAATAGATATCGGGATAATTTGTTATGAAGCAATGTAGAACTAATACAAATCCATATTGCCTCTGCAGAAGGATGACGTCAATCTGATCAATTCTGAGGCGATTTTCAATTTTAGAATTTGTTAAGAAAATACCGTTTTAAGGTAAATCGGTATTATGACTAAGGAAATGGAAGATCTGCTTTTGAGAACTTTGGTTTTTAATAAAGAATTTTGATAGATTTTGATAGATTTAATTTTGATAGATTTAAACTATTTACCACTAAACTGCAAAATCTGGAATTGTCCCATATTAACCCAAGCACGTGCCTGAAAATGCTTCACCTACAGAGCAAACACTTTCTTTTTATACATGTTTGTGTGCAATACTATAAGATATAAAAATTCACATTACTCTGCCTTTCACAATTTTCCTTTAGATTGTATTGTAATTAATTTTAAGCCAGATGTAATTTTAATTCCAAATTATCAGTTTTACCTCATTTTGTAAATTACTCAGCCTCCTTATCTTTTTCATAGTGCAGACTTTTTCTCCATAGTTAAATATGTTATTTTACAATGACGAATGTCGACTATGTGCTTGCAGGTAGCTTTAAGCCACACAATGGAGTCAATAATTTATTTTCATTATGTTTTATAGTTGTGTTACTTTTTTCATGGTCAGATAAAGTTTTCTAGAAGAGTAAGTTTAATATGTAAAACACAAGAGAAGAAGCATGGAACTATGAGCGAAGTGTGGATTGTGGAATCAGTAAGACTTGGTTTGGATCCTGGTTCCACCAGCGATGATCCTTAATCACTACATGCTTGGTTCCCTCATCTGTACGATGGAAAGAATAATAATAATACAGTTCTGATAGGGCTGTTGTAAAACCGAGAACTAACTCTTAGTTCTCAGTTTAGCACCTGGAAAATAGAAGGTACTCCCACCGAATGTGGGAAGGAGGGAAGGAGGGAAGGAGGGAAGGAGGGAAGGAGGGAAGGAAGGAAGGAAGGAAGGAAGGAAAAAATAGAAGTACTGAAGAAAGGAGGGAGGGAGGGAAACCCTGCAAAGATGTGGCTTTTCTACTGCTAGAGCGCCACATTCCATTGAGGACCTACTGCATGCCAGGTACTATTTCCAGGTACTGAACAAAACATGAAAATTTTAGAAAACATATTAGAGGATTTTTATTTTGGGGATGACAGACCCACTGAGGAAATCTAGAAAAACTAGACAAAATATTTAAAAGCAGCATCTTAGAGATGTAACGAGAC